ACTGCTCCATGGGGAACTCGTCACCCCCCACCTCCCCGCCACTGGCAAAGACCTCCGGGACGTCAGGATCCTCCGCCCGGATCTGGCCGACGAGGACGTGGTCGCAGTGTCGGTGGCGCCGATCCCGCTTGTCCAAGCGGTAGAATCAGCGGCCACACCCCCCCTCACAGGTATAGGCCCGGGTGGCGAACAGCTCCGGACACGCCGACCTCAGGTGTCGCTGCAAGTTGGTCCGCTGGCGGAATTCTCGCTGACAGTGGGGGCAGGCCAACCGGTCCATCCTGGGGAGAGAAACAGAGGGAGATTCAGGAGTTAGCGTGGAGCAGAATCGCTCCAGGCGCCGAACCCGCCTCCGGTTCGCACGGCGATGGCTCCGCCGGCGCGCTGCCTCCCTAGCTGCTTATGTCTGAGTTCTACCCGCTCTACACGCCGCCGCTCCGGCCCGGGCGTCCCGACTTCGCCCACGTCAATAGGTTCCAGTGTGGTCCCTTCGTCAACGGGGGGAGATGGCTCCCGCGGGCAGGACTGAGGGCCGGATCCGCTGGCTCCTTGACCCCCTGCCCGCACTGGCGCCTCCTCGGCCAAGGCTCCGCGGGCTGCGCGCTCCCACCATCCAAGCTGCACATCGCCCAGGTAGCACTTGAGCCGATTGCGATGCACGATCTGAGCCCTCGCTCGGGCAGTACGCTGCACTTTGTAGGCCACGTCGTTGAGGCGTTGTAGCACCGCGAAGGGTCCGTCCCACCACCGCTGCAGCTTGGGGGAGCGGCCGACCTTCTTCTTTGGGGTGAACAGCCAAACAGCCTGGCTGGGCTCGAACCCGCCCTCCTGGGCGCGACGTTCGTACTGCTGCTTGTGGTAGCTCTGAGTCCGCCTCAGGTGTCGCCGGGAAAACTCGTGGGCCCGCGTGAGCTTTGCTCTCAGCTCGTCGACGTAATTTAGTGCCTCGGTAGTCTCCGTCCGTTCCTCTGGTGACCCCACAAGGACGTCCAGGGGAAGTCCCACCTCCCTCCCGAGCATGTTCGGGGTGAGCCTGGTGCTATCGTGCTGGGAGGAGCGGTAGGCCATCAGGACGTAGGGAAGGTGTTCGTCCCAGTCGTCCTGATTCTCATCCACAAACATGCTCAGCATGGTCTTCACGGTACGATTGAACCGTTCGACCATGCCGTCGGACTGGGGGTGGAACGGAGTCGTCCTGGTCTTGTGGATGGATGCCCAACAGCTGGCAGACCCCGCGGAACAGGCCCGCTTCGAACTCTCGCCCTTGATCCGTGTGGATCTCGAGGGGTGTCCCGAAGCGCGTGATCACCTGCTCCACGAGGGTCTTGGCCACAGTCTCGGTCGTCTGATCCGAAAGGGGAAACGCCTCCGCCCACTTCGTGAAATAGTCCGCCACCATTAAGCTGGTGTTTCCGGCCTTGGTTTGGGGCAGGCGTCCGGTAAGGTCAATGGCGATCCGCTCCATGGGGGCCCCCACCAGGTATTGTCGGAGCGGAGCTCTCCCGGGACGCGGCGGGGACTTCTTAGAACAGCAGAAATGACACTTCTGGCACCACTGCTCAGCCTGCCGTCTCATCTCCCTCCAATACACAGGAGCCTGCCTGAGTCGGGCCACGGGCCGAGCGACCCCGAGGTGTCCAGCAGTTCGGTGGTTGTGGGCAAGAAGTAGAACCTCTGGCACCCTGGCCTGCGGGATGGCGATCTTCCAGGTGCCCCCCCCCCCGTCGGCCCTTGCCCACTTCACTTGCAAGACCCCTCGGAACAGGCGTAGTGTGTCCCATCTGGACCACCAGCTTTTGACCCCGGCGCCGAAGTCGGAGATGTCCTCCCATTCAGGCTGGTT